GATCGACCCTCATTTCGTGCGAAAGGGGTGCTCCGGGACAAGTCAAATCGCAATTTTACCTCAGTTTTTGCCGATCGACCTTCATTTCGTGCGAAAGGGTTGCTCCGGGGCAAGTCAAATCGCAATTTTACCTCAGTTTTTGCCCATCGACCCTCATTTCGTGCGAAAGGGTTGCTCCGGGGCAAGTCAAATCGCAATTTTACCTCAGTTTTTGCCCATCGACCCTCATTTCGTGCGAAAGGGTTGACGTTTCGTGACTCGCCGCCGGCACCACCCTCGGCCTTAAGAGAGAAAGATAAAAAGAAGGCGTGAGAGAGAAGGTGAGCAGGTGTGAAGATGAGCAGATGTGAAGATGAGCAGATGTGAAGATGAGAAGATGTGAAGATGGGAAGGTGTGAAGATGAGCAGATGTGAAGATGAGCAGATGTGAAGATGAGCAGATGTGAAGATGAGCAGATGTGAAGATGAGAAGATGTGAAGATAAGAAGATGTGAAGATGAGCATATGTGAAGATGAGCAGATGTGAAGATGAGCAGATGTGAAGATGAGCAGATGTGAAGATGAGAAGATGTGAAGATGGGAAGGTGTGAAGATGAGCAGATGTGAAGATGGGAAGGTGTGAAGATGAGCAGATGTGAAGATGAGCAGAAGTGAAGATGAGAAGGTGTGAAGATGAGCAGATGTGAAGATGAGAAGGTGTGAAGATGGGAAGGCGTGAAGATGAGCAGATGTGAAGATGGGAAGGTGTGAAGATGAGCAGATGTGAAGATGGGAACGTGTGAAGATGAGAGGATGTGAAGATGAGCGGATGTGAAGATGAGAGGATGTGAAGATGAGAGGATGTAAAGATGAAAAGATGTGAAGATGGGAAGGTGTGAAGATGAGAGGATGTGAAGATGAGCAGATGTGAAGATGAGAGGATGTGAAGATGAGAGGATGTAAAGATGAAAAGATGTGAAGATGAGAGGATGTAAAGATGAAAAGATGTGAAGATGAGAGGATGTGAAGATGAGAGGATGTAAAGATGAAAAGATGTGAAGATGAGAGGATGTGAAGATGAGATGTGAAGATGAGAGGATGTGAAGATGAGATGTGAAGATGAGAAGATGTTCTACAGACCCCCACTATTGGAAGAACCCTGCGCTCAGACGCTCTCGGGAAAAAAGAGAGAGAAAGGAGAGAAGATGTGAAGGCGAGAAGATGTGAGAGAAGGTGTGAAGATGAGCAGATGTGAGAGACGATGTGAGAGAAGATGTGAAGATGAGCAAATGTGAAGATGAGCAGATGTGAGAGAAGATGTGAGAGAAGATGTGAGAGAAGATGTGAGAGAAGATATGAAGAAAGATGAGCAGATGAGAGAAGATGTGAGAGAAGATGTGAGAGAAGATTTGAAGATGAGCAGATGTGAGAGAAGATGTGAGAGAAGATGTGAGAGAAGATGTGAGAGAAGATGTGAAGATGAGCAGATGTGAAGATGAGCAGATGTGAGAGAAGATGTGAGAGAAGATATGAAGAAAGATGAGCAGATGAGAGAAGATGTGAGAGAAGATGTGAGAGAAGATATGAAGATGAACAGATGTGAGAGAAGATGTGAAGATGAGCAGATGTGAGAGAAGATGTGAAGATGAGCAGATGTGAAGATGAGTAGATGTGAAGATGAGAAGGTATGAAGATGAGAAGGTGAGATACAGACCCCCACTATTGGAAGAACCCTGCGCTCAGACGCTCTCGGGAAAAACAAAAATCCAGAGACAATACTATTTAAGAAAAAATGCGAAAAAAAAAAGAAAAAAAACAGATGAAAACATTAGTGAAGAACCACCAAAACAAACCAAAAGAGAATACTTTAAAAAATACAGAAAGGATGTAAATGAAGCATCTATTATTGTTCAAAAAAAAATTATGCCACTTTCTGTGCGTTTTTGGCATAGTTTTTTTTTTGGTATTTTCCATTTCCATTTAAAGATATATGAACATTAATAATCATTAGAGAACAATATGTCGGTAGAAATAGCAAAAATCAGAAGACACAAGGACTACAGCAATGGGAAAATGTACATACTCAGAAATTCAATTAATGATTTGACTTATGTCGGAAGCACTTGCCAAACATTAGCGCAAAGAATGGCAGAACATAGAAATGGCATGAACAAGAAAAATGCGCAATACTACAAACTATACCAAGCAATGTCCGACCTGGGCAAAGATGCCTTTTACATTGAACTCATTGAAGGCTATCCGTGCCAAACAAGAGGGTGAATTGCTCAAGAAGGAAGGTGAAAAAATAAGAGAGTATCAGAGCAAATTGAATAAAATAGTAAGTGGTAGAATCTGGAAAACATATTTCGATGATAATAGACAAAAATACAAGAGTATAAAAGGCAGTATAACCAAAGTCACAAAGACCAAATTAAAGAAACAAAACAGAACTATTACCAAACACATAAGCAAGAAATGGCAGAACGAGACCGCCAATACTACCAAAACAACAAGGAACAACTTTTACTCAAAAAAAAAATACAACCAAAATAAAGAGAAAATAACAGAAAAAAATAAAACATATAGGGAAAATAACAAAGAAAAAATAGCAGAACGCAAACAAAAATACTACCAAAATGATAAAGAAAGGATTAATGAAAAAAATATCAAATACCAACAACAAAATAAAGAACGTGATAAAGAGAAAATAACAGAACGCAAAAGACAATACTATCAAAATAATAGAGACACAATCAATGAAACAAATAAGAAATGGCAGCAAGAAAACAAAGAAAAAAAACAAAACAGAAAAAACAATATTACCAAAAAAATAAAGAATGCATATTAGAAAGACAAAAACAACGCAAAATGGAGAAAAAAACGTCAATGATAATGACATTCTTATTTGAAAAAAATATGCCATAGTTGCTGAAATTATGGCATCATTATTTCATTAAAAGACCCAAAGGAAATGATTTAATGTTGTAAGGGGAAATAGTTTTCCACCCTTGCGGGAATAACCCTTCACCAAAAAAAAAATCCCCAAAAAATGAAAATTGGAACGGCCTTTCTCCCGTCTATGTCGGGGACATGATGAACATTTGGAAGTCCCAAGTCAGCACTTGAAAGTCCTAATGAAAACATTGTTGTGGACGTCCCATAGCACTTGAAAGTCCTAATTTGGGGTTTTTGGTTGCCATTTGGGTTCTTTGGGTTGGGCTTTTTCAAGTCTTAAGTTGGCACACTGCGCACTCCACAATTGTAATTCTTAGGTTTTGGTTTGGCATTTCATGTTTTTGGTTTGGCATTTTCAGGTTTTGGTTTGGCATTTTCAGGTTTTGGTTTGGCATTTTCGGGTTTTGGTTTGGCATTTTCGGGTTTTGGTTTGGCATTTTCAGGTTTTAGTTTGGCATTTTCAGGTTTCTTACCTATATTTCTATGGGGTGGCATGATGCTAGGTTCGTTGCTATAACCCTATGAATGAAAATGAAGATGAAATGAATTTGATGAATGGTGAAGATGAAAGTGACAATGAATGATAAGATAATGGAAACATGATATGGAAATTGGATTGGAACAATGAAAAATGAAGATGAATGGAAAAATAATGGAAAAATGAATGGAAAATAGATTGGAACAATGAAAAATGAAGATGAATGGAAAGATGAATGAGAAAATGATTGATGATATGGTGGAAGTGGTTGATTAATGGATTTTTTGATGGTGAAAAGTGATGGATGAGATATGTTGAAATGATGGTATGTAATGATGAAATGTGGATGGATGAAAATGAAGCAATCAACCTAGCATCATGCCTAGTCACTACTCATTGTGCCCGTGCGCGCAAAGCCTGTAAGCTCTCGCTTAGCGCCAGCAGATAGGTACAGTGCTTTGTGGTGGATTGTAGCCTTTCTTGGGGAATCATATGCTGATTTTTTGGTCTGTTCCAAGATTGCGGAAGATTGACCCGGGGACAGAAAGACAGCATGTAAGTTGTTCACCGAGTGTTAGGTAGTAAATCGAAAGGTACCGTAAAAAGCATAGCGTTGGATTCTCATTCTATGCCCTTGAACGTAGATAAAACCAGCAGCGCTTTACAAGCCACTCTCGACTCTGGTTGGAGCCTACGAGTGAGTGGCTGATCATGCACGAAAGGCCATGTTTTGCAGGGGCCCTCAGAAGTGCATTGCAGAGAAGTACATCGAAGCAAAGTTACGGCTAGCTGGTGCTCCTTGAAATGATGCTGTGTTGAGTTTGCAGGGCAAGAGAGTTGTGGCCCAGTCCAACTTGATGGTCCTTGCTCTGTTGCATTCTCTGCACGAGAAGCACCCTTTGATATCATGGAGTGGAAGGCCAGGTTAACCTGTTGCGATTTTCTTGCAAGATGCTGGCCCCAGTACTGTTGTTAAATATTTCAATGACTGGGCGCAGCCATGCGCAAAGGGCGAGAGATGCGAAAGTAAAAGGTTCTTCTTCGTGCAAGATACAGTGCAATATTTGGGATTTGTAGATGTTGGCGTCTTGCCTGAGATTCCTGTATATTCCTGTCTGAGATTCCTGTCATGTTTTTTGGGCTCGTCCGAAGAAAAACTACTCACAGTGAATCGGCACATGTCCGCAGCCACACACATATATATATATTATAATATAATATAATATAATATAATATGATATGATATGATATGATATGATACAATATAATATAATATAATATAATATAATATATCTTATTGATTCGTAAAGTGAGCATTCAGGCATGATCTTGCACTCTGGCACTCTTCTGGCTCCCAGTCAGTGCTATTTGCAAGGCCCCTAAGCTCTGGCTTAGTGCCAGCAGATAGGTACAGTGCATTGTGGTGGATTGTAGCCTTTCTTGGGGAATCATATGCTGATTTTTTGGTCTGTTCCAAGATTGCGGAAGATTGACCCAGGGACAGAAAGACAGCATGTAAGTTGTTCACCGAGTGTTAGGTAGTAAATCGAAAGGTACCGTAAAAAACATAGCGTTGGATTCTCATTCTATGCCCTTGAATGCAGATAAAGCCAGCAGCGCTTTACAAGCCACTCTCGGCTCCGGTTGGAGCCTACGAGTGAGTGGCTGATCATGCACGAAAGGCCATGTTTTGCAGGGGCCCTCAGAAGTGCATTGCAGAGAAGCACATCGAAGCAAAGTTACGGCTAGCTGGTGCTCCTTGAAAGGATGCTGTGTTGAGTTTGCAAGGCAAGAGAGCTGTGGCAGGAGATCAGCGTTGCAAACTCCTCTACTCTCTGCTGCACTTCTGCACGAGAAACACCCTTTGATATCATGGAGTGGAAGGTCAGGTTAACCTGTTGCGATTTTCTTGCAAGATGCTGGCCCCAGTACTGCTGTTAAATATTTGAATGACTGGGCGCAGCCATGCGCAAAGGGCGAGAGATGCGAAACTAAAGGGTTCTTCTTCGTGCAAGTGTGCAATGTTTTGCATTGTAGATGTTGGCGCCTTGCCTGAGATTCCTGTCATGTTTTTTGGGCTCGTCCGAAGGAAAAACAACTCACAGTGAATCGGCTACATGTCCACAGCCACACATATAGAATATATCTTATTGATTCGTAAAATGAGTATTCAGGGCAGGTTTGGGAGCCGTCCACAAAGGTTTGCCATCTTCAAACGCGTGTTAGCTTATAATTCTTGTCGGCTCGAACAGGCATCGGTTTTTAGAGCGACAGCTTTTCCCCTCGTCAATGGCCCCAATCACAAACCATTAATATTACAGTATTATTTTTCATAACATTGGCTCGGAACAAACGAACCCCAAAATAAGGTCTCCAGGGCTTATTTCTCGGACCTGTCTTGGACCTTTTGCTCATGATGATCCAACACCAAAATAAGATATCCCACGCTTATTTCTGGAGCTTGCGAATTGTGAGGATGGAAGCCCAAAATAAATGAACATAAGTTATCTAACTATTTTTAGCTATTTACCTTATTTAGGCTGAATGGCTTGATGATTCAGGCCATGGCGGCCATGGTGTGAATCCAAATTCCTGAATTTTCACATCGTGGTTCCCGAGACATTGACGTGGCGAAAACATTCGTAACCAGCGCACCTCATGGGATATGCATTGCGAGACAAAAAAGGCATGAACAGTTCTTCTATGATCTTGGTGCTGAGAAAGTGTGGTGCATTCGGCGTTCTCAGCATACTTTTCCTTCGGCGTGACCATTCACCTTGCAGCGAAAAACCGTACTCTTTGACGGGCGCAGCCTGAGGAGACAGGAAGCGCACGATGCGGCATTTGCGCTGTCCGCTGTGAGGCTCTCAGGCTGTGCCAAGACCGGCCGGTGGGACCCCGTGGGACCCCGTGGGACCCCGTGGGACCCCGTGGGACCCCGTGGGACCCCGTGGGACCCCGTGGGACCTCGACGTTCTGAGATGGGCCGAGATGGGTCCAGACGGGCGCCGTGGTTTTTCAAGTGGCTGATGCCGGGCCAATTCACACGCGGTTCTAGCCCCTTGCCAAGACTGCAATTCTTTGGGCGAGCCAAAGATGCCAGTTTGAATCTTGAAACGATGACAATTGTGTATCAGCCGTCAAGTGCGGTGCACTTGTCATGTGACTCTGTGTGACCAACAAGATTGCTTTGAAGCAAGCAAGCGCAGACTGGGATATCTTCCAGGCAATTGCAAGTGAGTTGAAAAGGCCGTGGAATCGAAAGGGGCGGATGTGGCAATCTTTGGGACTGGTTTTTAGGGCTCATCCCTTCCAAGTTGGCGCGACTAGGGGAATTTTGTTTCTGCCGGTTGGAAAGGTTCTGGTTAGTGACTGAATTTCGGACAGCATGTTGCAATATCTCGTTTGCAATTCTTTTTCGCAAAGAAGTTTGGATGTGAGACCTGGATTGTTTCGGGGCCGAAGAGGTTGGAATTTGCAATTTCACCAGTAGATGCTGCAGAGACTTTCAGGACCAGCAATCTGTGGTTTTCATTTCTTGCAGTTTGCCAGTGCGTCCTAGGTTTATTTTTAGAAGGTTCATTTCAAGGAAGCTTGTTGAAATGGGTCCAAATTCTCCCCCACCACAGCCAGGACGTTTTGTTTCATGTTGTGGACATGTCCCCTCTGTTCGTTTGTTTCACCCACTTCACGACAAACCTTGGAGCTTTGCTAACACCGTGGGGCTGGAGCTTTGTGCCACCGTATGTGCAATGGCGCTGCCAGCAGGCGTCAGAAGGCAAACGGCGGCATGGTATTTTGATGTGTTTCTTGCAAGTACGTAGAAAGCCAGCGTTTTTTAAATAGAAAAGCCGTCTGTACAATGCGCTTCCTCGGCATGGCTTTCTGGTTTCCAATTCTTGTCTATCTTGGGAGGGTAATTACGGTGGGAAACCGCGCCAAACAAACTTAAGGAATGAAGAAAACAAGACGGTCCTGTCTTCAAAAGCAATAGTTCCGTGTTGTGCTGGCCATTGCCGTTGCCAGAATCCGGGATAGCTGTTCCGGCTACGCTTGTTTCCGGCCTTCCTTGCTTTCCACGGGCCCGCCGCGCTCGGCAAACACAAAAACGCGCGTAGATGAGCGATCTACGCGCGGTTTTGCGTTCTGCCTGGTTTTTGGCCGCGCTGGGCTCTGTTGTGGCCGGAACCCGGGATAGCTGCTCCGGCTACGCTGGTTTCCGGCCTTGGTTGCTTTCCCCGGACCCGCCGCGCCCGGCAAACACAAAAACACGCGTAGATGATCGATCTACGCGCGATTATTTTGCGTTATACCTGGGTTTTGGGCTTGGCCGCGCTGGGCTCTGCCGCGACCGGAATCCGGGATAGCTCTGCCAGCTACACTGGTTTCCGGCCTTGGTTGCTTGCCGCGGGGCCGCCGCGCCAGCGCACCTCGGAGAGGCCAGGAGAGCCGAGAGCGCCGCTCCACCTCGGCGGCCACGACACCTCGGCTTATCCCGCGGCCTGGAGCTCTAAGCCCAAGCCCACCAGCCGCGCCAAGGCTCGATTCTTTCCGGGCGCGCCCTTCGCAGGCTTGGGCTTGGCGTTTTTCGTGACGCTAGTGGTTGATGCTTTTAAGTGGCTGTTCCCATGCTGAAATTTTGTCTTGTTTGCTTGCTGCAGCGCTGCTGCACCTCAGAAACGCGAAAACACGCGTGGATGAGCGATCTACGCTCGATTTTGCGTTCTACATGACGCCGCGGCACTTTGCGTGGCAGGCGTGGCGCTTGGCGACATCTACCGTCACTTTGGCTGGCAGGTGTGGCGCTTGGTGACATCGACGTTCCATGTGCGTGGCAGGCGTGGGACTTGGTCACATCGACCATCGTTTTGCGTGGCATGTCTGACTTGTTGACATGTTTGATGGAAACTTTGGCCAAAGATTCTGGCAACATTCTGGCATGTTTACAGAAACGCTTGGTGCGAGCCATGCTTAGCTATGTGTTATTGCAAGCCATGTTTGATCCATGTGTTGCAGCACCAGCCATTCTGGCATGTCTTACTTTTTGGCATGTTTGACCGAGACTTTGTGCCAACATTTCTCATGAGTGCTCCCGCTCTATGTGACTGCTGCTGATCTTATGGTGGGGAAATTGCACACTTTTCAAGCTATAACTGAGATTTATGAGGCCTTTAGTCATGTAGGTCCTTTATTCAAACGGCCGCGTTGAACTCGTCCTTTGAGCCGGGTACTGTAATCAGGTAGTCCGAACTTTGTTGTGCGTTGGTGCTGTCAAACTTATTTTTGAAGTCCAGTCTTGCCTCCCAGTGGAGAAAGTTGTGGCACGGTTGCCATCTTGGTTGCCTTCTTTGTTGAAATATTGGTCGCCATCTTTTCAAACCGTGATCGATGTGGGGTCCATGCGCCTGCACTTTCTACGTTTGATGCAGAACGGCATTGCACAGTGTTACATAATATATATATCACATGGCGCGTATTAATATTTCAGCATTTTTTGTTTAAATTGACATGTCCGCAAACCAGTACAGGTTCGTCTTCCACGGATCAATTCAGACAATGACTTGACCTTCGAAAGTCTCGTCCCCAGTACCGTTAGACACGCGATGCAAGGATACGCCTGCTGCATTTCTCTTGCTTATGTGCGGGAGTCTGAACCGCAAGGGGGGTATTGACTTTGGAACATCTTTGTGAAACAGAACATCCGTGAAAATCCATCATTTAACACTAGATATCGTTTTTCCTTGAAGTAGAGTCTCCACACGTCGGACCAGTATAGATCAGAAATAGATTCACTTTGCCGCAGATGCTCCGCACCGGCTATCCAAGGTACATCTTGATCCCGCCTGAATTGATGCAGCTGACGTCACAGTAGCCGAGCAAAGATTGCAGCTGTCACCTTTGTCAACTCTGCTGGCAAGTATCGAAACATGTGGCTGACCAGTCAGACAGGTGCAGACGTTGGCAGTTGTGATTGGGTAGTTGGTGGGAATGCTGGTGGCACCAGGCACGACAGTGGAAAAGGTGCTGAGTTGCTTTGAAAACCTTTTTGGACAAGTGCGCCTACAGAAGACACCTTGTGAAGCTGGAATTCAACAGGGGGACCTTTCTCAACAACTTGGACCAGGTGACAGCAGCTCATACAGGAGCAGTGAGCATCATAGGGTTACTTCTTTACCTCTCCAGTGACCGGTTGGACATTATGTTCACTGTGAAGGAGCTACCAGCTGCAATGTCCAAACCAACTTTGTGTGCGCTCCAGCGTTTGGGGCGCTTGATGGGGTATTTGAAGTTCAGCGGCAACAGTAGTATCAAGTTGGGAGGAAAAAGAAAGGAAGGCTGTGAAATGCAGTGGATTTTGGAGACCTACACGGACACTGATTGGTCTTCAAACAGATCTCACAGGAAGTCCACGAGCTGCGCGGTACATTTTATCAATGCCGCTGATTTTGTGAGCTGTTTATCCTTGCGGAAGTGGTGCTTCCGTGCACTTGGTTCTCAGCGCTGCCCACGGGACCCTCCAGAGGTTTCGACCGTTTTTCAATGTGGATGAAACACTGAACCCATCAGGGCTCAGTTTGCCTTTTGGATGTGCGATTCACATGGCCTTTCTTCCGGACGCATCCTGTGTAAACAATTCTCAGCTATCTTCGTAGGATGAATCTAGCGCAGGCTTGTGCAGGCAGGGTCAAGGGGAATCCTGCAGAGGTTGTGCCTGGAAGTGCATGATGGCAAAGTCTCGACATATCATAAAAGCTTGAGAAACCGCTACATAGATTCTCTGCGCTTCATTGGTCCTGAAAGCAGGGCAAGGAAGCAGTTCCACTTTTTCACCTGTGGCCAAAAGACTAAAACTTGACCTGGAAAGGTGAAAGGTCCTGTTCTGCATCACACATGCGGCGCGCTTCTTTTGTGGCGCATTTTCATGCAGAGAGCATCTGGCGCTAATGCAGGAGTGGCGCATCACACATGCTACGATTGAGTGGCTGATCACGCACGAAAGGCCATGTTCTGCAGGGGCCCACAGAAGTGAATTGCAGAGAAGCACATCGAAGCAAAGTTACGGCTATCTGGTGCTCCTTGAAAGGATATTGTGTTGAGTTTGGAGTGCAAGCGAGTTGCGTGCTAGGTAGTAAAGCATCGACAGGTACCGTAAAAAGCATCGCCTGCGATTCTCATTCTTTGCCCCTATGCCCTTGAAGGCAGGTAAAAACACAGGAGGCTCGCTCTCTGGGCGTCCCCCGAAGCCAGCAACGCTTTACAAGCCACACTCGACTCCGGTTGGAGCCTACGAACGAGTGGCTGGTCAGGCACGAAAGGCCATGTTCAGCAGGGGCCCACAGAAGTGCATTGCAGAGAAGCGCATCGAAGGAAAGCCAAGGCAAGCTGGTGCTCCTTGAAAGGATGTTGTGTTGAGTTTGGAGGGCAAGAGAGTTGTGGCCAGGAGATCAGCGTTGCAAACTCTTGTACTCTGTGCTGCAGTTTTGCACGAGAAATCCATTTGAGGGGTTGGATCACTATCCCAGGGTTTCCAAGCAACAAAATAATGGAATTCGACAGGTTGGTTTTGTCCCCCCCGCCCTCCCCTTCTATAGGGGTAGGGATATTTCTGGGCTAGTAAAACAAGCGGGCAAGGGCTGCGTGACAAGACATCGGTTGGCATGAAGATTGCTCTAGAGCCAGCCATCCCTCAATGTGCACGTGCGCGCAAGGACCCTAAGCTCTGGCTTAGCGCCAGCAGATAGGTACAGTGCATTGCGGTGGATTATTTCCGTCCTGTTTTTCTGCCACATCCCAAGATTGCGGAAGATTGGCCCGGGGACAGAAAGGCAGCATGTAAGTTGTTCACCGAGTGATAGGTAGTAAAGCATCGAAAAATACAGCAAAAAGCATAGCGTGTGATTCTCATTGAAATCAGGTAAAAACAAAGGAGGCTCGCTCTCTGAGCGTCCTCCGAAGCCAGCAGCGCTTTACAAGCCACACTCGGCTCCGGTTGGAGCGTACGAACGAGTGGCTGATCATGCACGAAAGGCCATGTTTTGCAGGGGCCCTCAGAAGTGCATTGCAGAGAAGCGCATCGAAGCAAAGTTACGGCTAGCTGGTGCTCCTTGAAAGGATGTTGTGTTGAGTTTGCAGAGCAAGAGAGTTGTGGCCCAGTCCAACTTGATGGTCCTTGCTCTGTTGCATTCTCTGCACGAGAAGCCCCCTTTGATATCATGGAGTGGAAGGGCAGGTTAACCTGCTGCGATTTTCTTGCCAGATGCTGACCCCAGTACTGCTGTTCAATATTTCAATGAAGCAAAGTTGCGGAAGTGCATTGCAGAGAAGCGCATCGAAGCAAAGTTGCGGCTAGCTGGTGCTCCTTGAACGCATGTTACGTTGGGTTTGGAGGGGAAGAGAGTTGTGGCAGGAGATCAGCGTTGCAAACTCTTCTACTCTCTGCTGCGCTTTTGGACGAGAAAGTCCCTTTGATGTCATTCTTGGCTTTGCGCCCTGTACTGAAGATGAAATGTTTCAGGCAAAATCTTGCACTCTTCAAGCAGATTCTTGCTGCCAGTCCTTGAGAGGCAAGTGCAGGCAACAATACACTTCTGCTCCTTCCTAGACGGCAGAACCTGCCACAAAAACATTGGATTTTGTTTGGCAATTTGGCAGATATCCCTGACATGACATGATGGGCGCCTGTGCTTGATGTGCTACAGAAAGCACAGCAAATCATTTCTGGGCAAGTAAAACACGCAGGCAAGGGCTGCGTGACAAGACATCGGTTGGCATGAAGATTGCTCTAGAGCCAGGCATCCTTCAATGTGCACGTGCGCGAAAGGCCCGCAAGCTCTCGCTTAGCGCCAGCAGATAGGTACAGTGCATTGTGGTGGATTGTGGCCTTTCTTGGAGAATCATATGCTGATTTTTTGGTCTGTTCCGAGACGGCCAACCTATTGGCCCGAGGACAGAAACACAGCATGTAAGTTCATCAGCGTGTGCCAGGTAGTAAAGCATTTGCCGGTGGATTAAACGCATAGCGTGCGATATGCCCTTGAAAGCAGGTAAAAACACAGGAGGCTCGCTCTTTGAGCGTCCTCCGAAGCCAGCAACGCTTTACAAGCCACACTCGACTCCGGTTGGAGCCTACGAACGAGTGGCTGGTCAGGCACGAAAGGTCATGGTCTGCAGGGGCCCACAGAAGTGCATTGCAGAGAAGCGCATCGAAGGAAAGTTACGGCTAGCTGGTGCTCCTTGAAAGGATATTGTGTTGAGTTTGGAGGGCAAGAGAGTTGTGGCCCAGTCCGACTTGATGGTCCTTGAGAGGCAAGTGCAGGCAACAATACACTTCTGCTCCTTCCTAGACGGCGGAACTTGCCACAAAAAGATTGGATTTTGTTTGGCAGATATCGCTGACATGACATGATGGGCGCCTGTGCTTGACGTGCTACAGAAAGCACAGCAAATCATTTCTGGGCTAGTAAAACACGCAGGCAAGGGCTGCGTGACAAGACATCGGTTGGCATGAAGATTGCTCTAGAGCCAGGCATCCTTCAATGTGCACGTGTGCGAAAGGCCCGCAAGCTCTCGCTTAGCGCCAGCAGATAGGTACAGTGCATTGTGGTGGATTGTGGCCTTTCTTGAGGAATCATATGCTGATTTTTTGGTCTGTTCCAAGACGGCCAACCTATTGGCCCGAGGACAGAAACACAGCATGTAAGTTCATCAGCGTGTGCCAGGTAGTAAAGCATTTACCGGTGGATTAAACGCATAGCGTGCGATATGCCCTTGAAAGCAGGTAAAAACACAGGAGGCTCGCTCTTTGAGCGTCCTCCGAAGCCAGCAACGCTTTACAAGCCACACCCGACTCCGGTTGGAGCCTACGAACGAGTGGCTGGTCAGGCACGAAAGGTCATGGTCTGCAGGGGCCCACAGAAGTGCATTGCAGAGAAGCGCATCGAAGGAAAGCCAAGGCAAGCTGGTGCTCCTTGAAAGGATGTTGTGTTGAGTTTGAAAGGCAAGAGAGTTGTGGCAGGAGATCAGCGTTGCAAACTCTTCTACTCTCTGCTGCGCTTCTGTACGAGAAATTCCCTTTGATGTCATTCTTGGCCTTGCGTCCTGTACTAAAGAATGCGTTGATTCGTAAAATGAGTATTCAGGCAAGATCTTGCACTCTTCGGGCTCCCAGTCAGTGCTACTTGCAAGGCCCCTAAGCTCTGGCTTAGCGCCAGCAGATAGGTACAGTGCATTGCGGTGGATTGCAGCCTTTCTTGGGGAATCATATGCTGATTTTTTGGAACGTTTTTCAATAGGATGAAACACTGAACACTGACGTCACAGTAGCTGAGCAAAGATTGCAGCTGTCACCTTTGTCAACTCTGCGGCCAAGTATCGAAACATGTGGCTGACCAGTCAGACAGGTGCAGACGTTGGCAGTTGTGCGATTGGGTAGTTGGTGGGAATGCTGACCGCCTCTGCCGCTGATTTTGTGAGCTGTTTATCCTTGCGGAAGTGGTGCTTCCGTGCACTTGGTTCTCAGCGCTGCCCAGGGGACCCTCCAGAGGTTTCGACCGTTTTTCAATGTGGATGAAACACTGAACCCATCAGGGCTGAGTTTGCCTTTTGGATGTACAGATTCACATGGCCTTTCTTCCGGACGCATCCTGTGTAAACAATTCTCAGTCCATCCAAACCATCCAAAGATGGGCATGTACCTTCGTAGGATGAATCTAACGCAAGCTTGTGTAGGCATCCTGCAGAGGTTGTGCCTGGACGTGCCTGATGGCAAAGTCTCGACATATCATAAAATCCTGAGAAACCGCTACATAGATTCTCTGCGCTTCATTGGTCCTGAAAGCAGGGCAAGGAAGCAGTTCCACTTTTTCACCTGTGGCCAAAAGACATCCCTACCCTCTTAAAAATGGAATTGGAGGGGGGGGGGAGTCGTACTGAAATTTCATTTTAAAATTCCATTTTTGCAATCATGTTTTCTCAATGATCAATATTCCTCATCATTCCATGTCAATGGCAAGCAGGTGAAAATTAAATACTTGCGCTTAGCTCCAGAGGAGATTGCTCTAGAGCCAGCCATCCCTCATTGTGCCCGTGCGCGCAAAGCCCGTAAGCTCTCGCTTAGCGCCAGCAGATAGGTACAGTGCATTGCGGTGGACAGAAAGACAGCATGTAAGTTGTTCACTGAGTGTTAGGTAGTAAATCGAAAGGTACCGTAAAAAGCATAGCGTTGGATTCTCATTCTATGCCCTTGAATGCAGATAAAGCCAGCAGTGCTTTACAAGCCACTCTCGGCTCCGGTTGGAGCCTACGAGCGAGTGGCTGATCATGCACGAAAGGCCATATTCTGCAGGGGCCCACAGAAGTGAATTGCAGAGAAGCACATCGAAGCAAAGTTACGGCTAGCTGGTGCTCCTTGACAGGATATTGTGTTGAGTTTGGAGGGCAAGAGAGTTGTGGCCCAGTCCGACTTGATGGTCCTTGAGAGGCAAGTGCAGGCAACAATACACTTCTGCTCCTTCCTAGACGGCGGAACTTGCCACAAAAAGATTGGATTTTGTTTGGCAGATATCCCTGACATGATGGGCACCTGTGCTTGACGCGCGACGGTTGGCATGAAGATTGCTCCGGAGCCAGCCATCCCTCAATGTGCATGTGCGTGCAAGCCCCCTAAGCTCTGGCTTAGGGCCAGCAGATAGGTACAGTGCATTGCGGTGGATTGTAGCCGTTCTTGAGACTTCCGTCCTGTTTTTCCGCCACATCCCACTATCAGGATGTAAGTTGTTCACCGAGTGCTAGGTAGTAAAGCAGCGAAAAATACAGTAAAAAGCATAGTGTGCGAGTCTCTTTCAGTGCCCTTGAACGCAGGTAAAAACAGAGGAGGCTCGCTTTCTGAGCGTCCTCCGAAGCCAGCAACGGAAAGGCCATGTTTTGCAGGGGCCCACAGAAGTGAATTGCAGAGAAGCACATCGAAGCAAAGTTACGGCTAGCTGGTGCTCCTTGAAAGGATGTTGTGTTGAGTTTGCAAAGCAAGAGAGTTGTGGCCCAGTCCAACTTGACGGTCCTTGCTCTGTTGCATTCTCTGCACGAGAAACATTGCCTCTTGTATTTTTGCATTGATTCGTGAAATGGTTCAGGCAAGATCTTGCACTCTTCAAGCAGATTCTTGCTCCCAGTCCTTGAGAGGCGGCGGAACTTGCCACAAAAACATTGGATTTTGTTTGGCAGATTTCCCTGACATGATAGGCACCTGTGCTTGACGTGCCACAGAAAGCACAGCAAATCATTTCTGGGCTAGTGAAACACGTAGGCAAGGGCTGTGTGACAAGACATCGGTTGGCATGAAGATTGCTCTAGAGCCAGCCATCCCTCATTGTGCCCGTGCGCGCAAAGCCCGTAAGCTCTCGCTTAGCGCCAGCAGATAGGTACAGTGCATTGCGGTGGACAGAAAGACAGCATGTAAGTTGTTCACCGAGTGTTAGGTAGTAAATCGAAAGGTACCGTAAAAAGCATAGCGTTGGATTCTCATTCTATGCCCTTGAATGCAGATAAAGCCAGCAGTGCTTTACAAGCCAGGAGCCTACGAGTGAGTGGCTGATCATGCACGAAAGGCCATGTTTTGCAGGGGCCCTCAGAAATGCATTGCAGAGAAGTACATCGAAGCAAAGTTACGGCTAGCTGGTGCTCCTTGAAAGGATGCTGTGTTGAGTTTGCAGGGCAAGAGAGTTGTGGCCCAGTCCAACTTGACGGTCCTTGCTCTGTTGCATTCTCTGCACGAGAAACACCCTTTGATATCATGGAGTGGAAGGGCAGGTTAACCTGTTGCGATTTTCTTGCAAGATGCTGGCCCCAGTCCTGCTGTTCAATATTTCAATGACTGGGCGCAGCCATGCGCAAAGGGCGAGAGATGCGAAACTAAAGGGTTCTTCTTCGTGCAAGTGTGCAATGTTTTGCATTGTAGATGTTGGCGCCTTGCCTGAGATTCCTGTCATGTTTTTTGGGCTCGTCCGAAGGAAAAACAACTTACAATGAATCGGCTACATGTCCACACATATAGAATATCTCTTATTGATTCGTAAAATGAGTATTCAGGCAAGATCTTGCACTCTGGCACTCTTCTGGCTCCCAGTCAGTGCTATTTGCAAGGCCCCTAAGCTCTGGCTTAGCGCCAGCAGATAGGTACAGTGCATTGCGGTGGACAGAAAGACAGCATGTAAGTTGTTCACCGAGTGTTAGGTAGTAAACCGAAAGGTACCGTAAAAAGCATAGCGTTGGATTCTCATTCTATGCCCTTGAATGCAGATAAAGCCAGCAGTGCTTTACAAGCCACTCTCGGCTCCGGTTGGAGCCTACGAGTGAGTGGCTGATCATGCACGAAAGGCCATGTTTTGCAGGGGCCCTCAGAAATGCATTGCAGAGAAGTACATCGAAGCAAAGTTACGGCTAGCTGGTGCTCCTTGAAAGGATGCTGTGTTGAGTTTGCAGGGCAAGAGAGTTGTGGCCCAGTCCAACTTGACGGTCCTTGCTCTGTTGCATTCTCTGCACGAGAAACACCCTTTGATATCATGGAGTGGAAGGGCAGGTTAACCTGTTGCGATTTTCTTGCAAGATGCTGGCCCCAGTACTGCTGTTCAATATTTCAATGACTGGGCGCAGCCATGCGCAAAGGGCGAGAGATGCGAAACTAAAGGGTTCTTCTTCGTGCAAGTGTGCAATGTTTTGCATTGTAGATGTTGGCGCCTTGCCTGAGATTCCTGTCATGTTTTTTGGGCTCGTCCGAAGGAAAAACAACTTACAGTGAATCGGCTACATATCCACACATATAGAATATCTCTTATTGATTCGTAAAATGAGTATTCAGGGCAGGTTTGGGAGCCGTCCACAAAGGTTTGCCACCTTCAAACGCGTGTTAGCTTATAATTCTTGTCGGCTCGAACAGGCATCGGTTTTTAGAGCGACAGCTTTTCCCCTCGTCAATGGCCCCAGTCACAAACCATTAATATTACAGTATTATTTGTCATAACATTGGCTCGGAACAAACGAACCCCAAAATAAGGTGTCCAGGGCCTATTTCTCGGACCTGTCTTGGACCTTTTGCTCATGATGATCCAACACCAAAATAAGATATCCCACGCTTATTTCTGGAGCTTGCGAATTGTGAGGATGGAAGCCCAAAATAAATGAACATAAGTTATCCAACTATTTTTAGCTATTTACCTTATTTAGGCTGAATGGCTTGATGATTCAGGCCATGGCGGCCATGGTGTGAATCCAAATTCCTGAATTTTCACATCGTGGTTCCCGAGACATTGACGTGGCGAAAACATTCGTAACCAGCGCACCTCATGGGAGATGCGAACAATTGAAATTTCGCTGCTTTCGCGCACAAATTGCATTGCGAGACAAAAAAGGCATGAACAGTTCTTCTATGATCTTGGTGCTGAGAAAGTGTGGTTCTGCATTCGGCGTTCTCAGCATACTTTTCCTTCGGCGTGACCATTCACCTTGCAGCGAAAAACCGTGCTCTTTGACGGGCGCAGCCTGAGGAGACAGGAAGCGCACGATGCGGCATTTGCGCTGTCCGCTGTGAGGCTCTCAGGCTGTGCCAAGACCGGCCGGTGGGACCCCGTGGGACCCCGTGGGACCTCGACGTTCTGAGATGGGCCGAGATGGGTCGAGACGGGCGCCGTGGTTTTTCAAGTGGCTGATGCCGGGCCAATTCACACGCGGTTCTAGCCCCTTGCCAAGACTGCAATTCTTTGGGCGAGCCAAGATGCCAGTTTGAATCTTGAAACGACGACAGTTGTGTATCAGCCGTCAAGTGCGGTGCACTTGTCATGTCACTGTGACTCTGTGTGACCAACAAGATTGCTTTGAAGCAAGCAAGCGCAGACTGGGATATCTTCCAGGCAATTGCAAGTGAGTTGAAAAGGCCGTGGAATCGAAAGGGGCGGATGTGGCGATCTTTGGGACTGGTAAAGGGCTCATCCCTTCCAAGTTGGCGCGACTAGTGGAATTTTGTTTCTGCCGGTTGGAAAGGTTCTGGTTAGTGACTGAATTTCGGACAGCATGTTGCAATATCTCGTTTGCAATTCTTTTTCGCAAAGAAGTTTGGATGTGAGACCTGGATTGTTTCGGGGCCGAAGAGGTTGGAATTTGCAATTTCACCAGTAGATGCTGCAGAGACTTTCAGGACCAGCAATCTGTGGTTTTCATTTCTTGCGGTTTGCCAGTGCGTCCTAGGTTTATTTGTAGAAGGTTCATTTCAAGGAAGCTTGTTGAAATGGGTCCAAATTCTCCCCCTACCACAGCCAGGACGTTTTGTTTCCTGTTGTGGACATGTCCCCTCTGTTCGTTTGTTTCACCGACTTCACGACAAACCTTGGAGCTTTGCTAACACCGTGGGGCTGGAGCTTTGTGCCACCGTATGTGCCATGGCGCTGCCAGCAGGCGTCAGAAGGCAAACGGCGGCATGGTATTTTGATGTGTTTCTTGCAAGTACGTAGAAAGCCAGCGTTTTTTAAATAGAAAAGCCGTCTGTACAATGCGCTTCCTCGGCATGGCTTTCTGGTTTCCAATTCTTGTCTATCTTGGGAGGGTAATTACGGTGGGAAACCGCGCCAAACAAGCTTAAGGAATGAAGAAAACAAGACGGTCCTGTCTTCAAAAGCAATAGTTCCGTGTTGTGCTGGCCATTGCCGTTGCCCGGGATAGCTGTTCCGGCTACGCTTGTTTCCGGCCTTCCTTGCTTTCCACGGGCCCGCCGCGCTCGGCAAACACAAAAACGCGCGTAGATGAGCGATCTACGCGCGGTTTTGCGTTCTGCCTGGTTTTTGGCCGCGCTGGGCTCTGTTGTGGTCGGAACCCGGGATAGCTGCTCCGGCTACGCTGGTTTCCGGCCTTGGTTGCTTTCCCCGGGCCCGGCAAACACAAAAACGCGCGTAGATGATCGATCTACGCGCTGGGGCCACTCCCGGTGCTGGCAATCACGAAGCTCTCAGGGCGCAGCTGCGGAAACTTCGGGGGGGCCTAGCTGGCTGGGGAGCCCCCCCAGAAGCGGGGACGCCTCGAGGTGGGCGACCACTTGGAGACAGGCAGAAAAGGGGGCGAACCGCCAGGGGGTCATGGGGGGACGCTGGCGCTTCAGGATGTGAAGGAAGAGCTGTGCGTCCCTCCAGAGCCTCGCAAGAAGAGGAAGAGAGTCAAGAAGAAGGTTGCGAAGGATCCAGGGGCCCAGCTGCTGGCACAGGCCGAGCAGCTTCGTGTGGCCAAGATGCAAGAAGTCAGACAGAAGAAGAAGAGAAAAGAGAAGAGAGGAGGAGAAAAGGCAAGGGCGTTGGTGAAGGCGCTCCTAGGAGGTCAAAAGAAGCAGAAGACGAGCGGCAGAGATGGGGACCCGTCGAGCTCTCCAGACGGGAGCCGTGTGGACTCGTCGGACGAGGACAAGGAGGAGTCCTCAAGCTCAAGCGAGCTTTTGGCGCCCTTACAGAAGAGGTCTTCAAAAAGGCCTGGCGCTGTCCTCAAGATGCTCCTACATCATGCGAAGACTGTCGAGACGGCCGAGGGGGACGAGGTGACGACGGGAGTCAAAATGACCTCATACTTCAACTTGATGGTCCGTCCCTACTACAACGCCTTGAGCCGCGACATGAAGGAGCTCAACCTTCTGGCTATTTGCCTGGACGAGCTGCGGGCGGGAGAATTGGGGAAGCTGGGAGATTCCCTTGCTTCCCGGTTCCTCGCCATTCATACAGCCGTCAACGAAGGCATTGGAAGAGCGCCCAGTACCTCGAGCTCCATCCCCTCGAGCCCACTCAAGGGGCACCCATGAGCCTGCTGCTGGAGGCCAAGAAGCACGGCCGACTGGTGAGCAAGAGCCAGGGAGCAGACGAGGGAAGGTGGGGCCGATGAGATGGCGACAGCTGGAGGGCGGCGCCAAGAGGAGGCGAGAGCAAAAGCAAGGACAAAGGAAAAGCTGCAGCAAGGAGGAGGCTGGTCGCAAAGAGAAAGAGTGGTGGGCGAATCAGAAGGACAAGCCCAGCGGAAAGAAGACGAAGGGGGCCGATGCGCCCAAGGCAGCGGAGAAGTGAAGGTGAGGAGTAAATGAGTAAAGTGGCCGACGGCAATGGCCCAGAAAGCATTGGTCTCAGAGGGGACTTGCGAGACTTTGAGAAGCTTTGTGCTGGAGGAGTTTCGCTACAGCTCAGTGGGTGCCTCCTGGCCTGGCTGGTGATCAGGGGTGAGGAGGACTCACTCTCCCTGGGTAAGCTGACAGCTCTGGCAGTTGTGCTTCCCAGGATGGGTGCTGGCAACCGTGCCGTGCATCGAGCCTCTCGTAAGGCTCTTTTTCCAATCCGGCTTGGTGAGCTGGATAAGCTGTCAAGAGCAATGTCTCGAGCCAGCTATGAGGAGGTGGTTTCCGATTCTTTCCGTGCCACATGGCATGGATCTTTCTTTCCGTGCTCTTTACTAATTGGTTGCATGGGCATCACGGCATCCCTGCTGGTCGCTGGCGGAAATCCGACGCGACAGCAACTTTGAGCATGCGTGCCGCTGTACAGAGGGTTCTCAGGCTGGACCAGCAGATCGTGCGAAGTCCCGAGGCCGTGGAAAAAGAGCTTAGCAGTCGTTTCATCAGCTACAGTGGGGAGGAAGTTCCCCGCATGGAACCACTCAGCTGTGATCAGATTACCCCAGCATTGCCACCACCGGGTCATGGGGGTTCTATCCCGGTCACAGATTGGACGGCAGGAAGAACTAGGTCGTTTCTCTTGAGACCTGAAGATTATGGTTGTTGATCATGGGCAAGCTGTTCCAAAATTGCAGGCAAAGGTTCATATTGTAGAAGGTGATCGCATGGCTGGCAGTTGCTGGGAAATTGGTCGAGCGTAACATTTGCAGTTGGGTGGAACTTGAAGAAGTTGTCACGTTCAGGGGTCAAAAGATTCTCAATGGATTGTTTGGGGTAGCCAAGAGCACCTTGTTGCCAGACGGTCGGCCTCAGTTGAGGGTCATCATGAACCTGATCCCGCCAAATGCAGTAATGCAGCAGTTACAAGGGTTGTCAATGAACTTCTGGGTGTTACCCAGTACTTGTCTGTGGTGTTGGAAGATAGTGAAGAGCTCCGCATGTGTCAAAGCGATATGACTAGTGCGTTCTACCTCTTCTCTCTCCCCTCTTCCTGGCAAAGGTTTCTGGCATTCAACTTACAAGCCAAGGGGGAAGACATAGGGCTGCGTGCTGGCGTGCTCTACTGCCTGGCATGCAAGGTCCTCCCCATGGGTTGGGCTAGTGCGGTCTCTGTCATGCAAGAGGTAAGTCAAGCTCTACTCAACCATGGTGGCCTTCCTCGGGGAGAGCAAGTGCTTAGGACCAAACCACTTCCCACTTGGTTGACAGAAGTGCTGAAGGCTGCACGGGTTACTTCGACGGGGTGGTACCACGTCTATTTGGATAACTTCTTCTCGGGGGAGCGCTTGGGAGCAGGTGATGCTGGTGGTCGCGCGCGTGAACTCCATAGTCTAGCGGAAGCTGCGTGGAATCTGCAGGGGTGCTCTCTTCGGAGAAAAAGAAGGTTGTGGAGGCTGAGGCGGTGCAGGAGCTTGGGGCTATGTTTGATAGTGAGGCGAGGCTGCTAGGTGCCTCTGCTGAACGGCTGGTCAAGCTGATCCAGTCTACTGGAAAGAGAAGATCCCCCGAAAGTGGTTGCAGGTTGTGTGCGGAAGGTGGGTGCATGTCCTACAATTCCGGAGGGCAGGTATGGCTACTCTTCATCAGGTTTGGAGATGGATTGGGGGGAAGAAACTTTCTGCGAAGCTTGCTGGTGCTGCACGGCAAGAACTTCTTATGCTATGCGCGGGGGCACACCTTCTTCATACGTTCTTGGGTGCTGAGGTGAGTCAGGTTGCCACCGCGTCGGATGCTTCTGGCAAAGGGGGTGCAGTGGGGCGCGCTGATGCTGTTTCATCTGAAGGTAAGCAGTTTTGTCAGGCACTGAAAGTGAGCCCGGACTGCACTGTAAGTGGAGGCATTCTGGTTGTGTCCCTTTTCAATGGGATTGGGGGTGCGTTCCGTGCGTACGACCTGGTGGGTGTCGAGGTTGCAGGGCTTATCTCCTATGATATCTGCAAGGCTAGGAGGTGGCCTCATGCCTCAGCTCAAGGCGATGTCAGGGATATCACCAGGGAGACGGTTTTTGGTTGGATGCTTCGCTACCCCCATGCAACAAAACTGCATTTCTGGGCCGGCTTTCCTTGCGTGGACCTTAGTGTTGTGAAGTTTGGTAGGCTCAACTTATCTGGGCCACAAAGTGGCCTATTTGTTGAAGTCTTGAGGGTGCTGGAACTTTGTCGGAAAGTTTTTGGAAGGCGATTCAAGGTGCTTTTCTTTGTGGAAAACGTGTCCTCAATGGATAAGTCGGCACTACAACAGATTAGCTGCGCTTTAGGAGTTACCCCTTACCGCGTACAGTGCGCTGAAGCGGTCCCCATCTCGCGCCCGCGCTTCTGTTGGACTAACCACAAGCTAGAGGCTCTTCCAGGTGTCTTGCTCGTTGACAAGGGCGACTTTGTTGAGGTGATAGCGAAGAATGAGTATCCTCCTATCCAGAGCTGGTTAACTGAAGGGTGTGAGTGGGAGCCTGCAGACCCCTCAACAGTGTTCCCTAAATGTATGAAGGCTATCAAGCGTAGGCAACCTCCCCCAAAACCAGCTGGCCTTGAACGCACTCCAGAAGATGCTCGAGGGCGATGGGCTGCTGATGACTTCCGATACCCCCCGTATCAGTATAAGAAGCAGTATCTGATATGGTCAGATGATAAGTGGAGACTACTTGACTCCTCCGAGCGGGAGTTGCTGCATGGCTATGGCTGGGGACATACTAGCCTGTGCATGAGTGCCAGCGAAATCAAGCGAAGTCAACAGGACTATGAAGACCTGCGGTGCTGCCTCGTGGGTGACAGCTTCTCCCTCTACTCTTTCGCGTTGTTTTCCTGGAGCGCGTGCTCTCGCTTGTGCCAAACATGACGCTCGCGCACCTCTACTCTAGAATGGGAATGGCTCCGGGATTCTGCGCTCCTCCTTCTACATCCTGTCCTTTGGCTAGGAAACTGGTATATGGGGATGGTGTTCCTGGGCATCTCACTGTGGGAGACCTTGCTCGGGAACTCCTTATACCAGAGTTAATCACACAGGCAGCGATATCAGGGTTAGTTCAGGAGCAGTTATGAAGGCGAAAGCGTTCCCTCGGCAATCAGCTTGCGCAGATTGGTGGCAATGGAAACACGTTTTCAACTGCCGATGGCAGAAGACTGAACACATCAATCGGTTGGAGATGCGTAGCATACTTTCGGCCCTGCGGTGGAGAATTCACCACCTGACTGAATCGAGTTGTAGGTTCATCCATTTAACCGATAGTTATGTTAGTATATCTATCATTTCTAAGGGTCGCTCAAGCAGTGAGATGCTTATGACCATCATGCGGCAGATTGCCGCTGTGCAGCTAGGCTTCAATTCATGTAGAAAGTAGTGAGAATCCAACTGACGATGCAAGTCGTCTTTAGCCATGGTGGGGCTGCCTACCTTTGCTGGCATTAGGAATCGCCGGGCAAGGCAAGCAGCAAGACGAGGCATAGTGCTGCGTGATGCTGGGATCACAAAGCAGACCCAATCTCGCTATTACCTTGCCGTTTCTGCCATTTGCAAAGTGATTCATGACACTGCTTCCATGGAAGATTTTGACGAACAAATTGCAGACTGGATCGAAAGTGAATTCAGGAAGGGGTCACCACTGAACATAGTGGCAGATGGTCTCAGTGGTATCCATTACTTTTTGCCTAGCACGCGCAGACGTTTACCAGTTAGCTGGAAGCTCTTTGCAAATTGGAGAAAAATTGAGGTCCCATCACGGGCAGCTCCTTTACCTGAGGGCCTGTGCTGGGCTATGATGGCCCGCGCACTGAGGCAGCAAGACTTTGATTTGGCCAGCTTACTCGGCCTTGGTTTTCACTGCTTCCTCCGAACAGGTGAACTTTTAAGTGTCAGGCCTTGTGACATCCTCTTACGGGGTGAAAAGGGCATTGTGACCCTGCCAAGCAGCAAAGGTGGCACCAGGCACAATGTGAAGGAGTCAGTAACTATCTTTGAACCACACCTGGTGGTATTACTTGTGGAATTGCTGGACATCAAGCGCCGCGCAAACCTCATGAGGGTACCTATGTGGACAAAGAATGGAACGGCTTTCCGAAAAGCCTTTCACAAGCTGACTGTGTTCTTCAAGGTAGAACATATGAATTTCAGAGGGTACTCCCTCAGGCGCGGAGGCGCAACCGCTTTCTTTCAAGATTGCGGACTGATGGAAAAGACGCTCTTACGAGGGCGCTGGAATAGTGTCCAAGTTGCCAGACTCTACCTTTGCGACGCGCTGGCACAGCTGCCGGATCTTGTTGCTGGTCTTCAACAAGCTCCTGTTGAAACTTGTCGAGCAGCAACGATGGAGCACGTGGAAAGTGGGGCGATCTTGCCATATAGATCAATGAGCCCCAGGCAAATGCCCTGTTTTGCCCTGCCATATGGGCGTGAAAAATTCGAGCCCTGTGCAAAGGGCGATTGTATCTCACAAGTACAGGGGTATGCAGACATGCATATCAAAGACCTTCATGCACGGCGCATCAAAAGGTGCAAGTGTGGGAAAGCAAATCATAGTTTCCAAATCATAGTTTCCAAATCCGCAGTTTTAGTTTCCAAATCCGCTGTTATAGTTTCCAAATCACGCGATGACCTATTAGAATTATCAACTTTTGCCATAATGATTAAAAATTATTTCAGATAATAATTTATAATATATATATATAATGATTAAGTAACTTTAAGATTTTTAGACTGATTTATTTTGTAGATGTTCTAATGAAATCGAATGAATTCTGATTTAAATTATCCCTTTGCATCTCATTTTCCATTCTTTCAATTTGATTTCTGTAACTCACCCTTTTATTTGCTTCTATTATGTCATTTCTAAAAGATATTAATTTATCTCTGGTTTCTCTTTCATCCAGTTTTTGTTTTAACCATTTCATGTATCTGCTGTCTCGATGTCGATGTTTGAATATTCCATAGTTATACCCGTTGCTGGTTTGCTCATTGTTTTCTGTCATTGGTTGTGTTTTGTTTTTTCTTTTGATACATTATATATTTATTTTGGAAATAAATTAATCATAAACTATTGTTCCGCTTTCAGTTAATTCCACAACAGATTCGGACACTAGATGGGTGTAAATTTCTTGGGTTCTGCTAGTTTTCTCTCCGCTGCTTTGATTTTTTTCGAAAGGAAACACCGATGATGAATTTGTGAGAGTGGTATTGACTGTAGGAGATGTCAAGCGAGTTCTGGTTATAATTCATATAATGTAAGGTTCGACGTAGGAAGTAAAATGCTTCTGAAAAAGACTGACATTCAGATTCTGGATACTTTTTTTTTGCTATTTGCATATGCCAACTTAAATTTCGTGTGTAATCTTGAAATCCTTTTCCTCCTTGTAAGGGGACTGTATCTGCCACGGACCATCATTGATTTCCCTATAGACCATAGGATTATAGAAATAATTCCATTTTTTGTAGATGTAGTTAGAAGGAAGTAAGTAGCCATATCCTGACCCTTGCCGTGGTGTTCGGTAAAAAGTAATGAAGGCATTCGTTAATTTAGAAGCAAACCTAACAATATTCATATTATCTTCTCCCTCGCCAGCGTTCAAAGTTTTTTCAGTTATGGTGTGGTATTGAGGGATGATAAATTTAAACTTTGTCCTTCTAACAAATGTTTAGTAATGTTATTATCAACTGTATTATCTAAAGTTCTTACCTCTATTTTTATGATTACATTATTAATTTGCCAACTTGTAGATGTATCACCATCTTGAAAATAATAGCCGTGCTGATCAGTTTCAGTATCGGGGTTTGTTCCAGCATCCCCTTGAAGGACTACGATAGGCTTGTTACCATTGCTGACGATTGTAAATTCTTATTCCAAAGGAGCAAAGCGTAAGGGTAAATAATCAATACTTTCCAAAAAAAACACAAAGCAAGGTTGATGACCTAATCTCATCTTTCCTTGAGCACCTGGTATACCACAGAATGAATGACGCGTAGGCCGCATATCAATTTTACCCCATTCATTATGGTCTCCATCTTGCGTGATGACCGTTCCGGGGTCGCCAACGGTTTTACATCAACAAAGTTATTCAATCCATTAGCGTATTTATGAGAATCATCATCCCAACTAGGATTAGCGCCACTTTCTAAATCGTCCATTTCATTAACTGCTTGACTTTTAAAACTCTTGTATAACTCACAGTGTCGGTTGTATTCAACGATGTCCTGAACAATCTGACCCCCGACCGTTACCCTATAGAGTTGGAAGAAACTGTGCAACCCACCCAAGGGTCGTAAAAACTTTGCCATAGTCCCATCGGTATTTTGTAAAGTAGCGAATAATCTCACACTGCTTAAGTCCAGATAGGTATTTGCATCGCCGCTAGTGTAAAATCTAATGTTTTTGTTTCCCGCATTTGGAGCATAAACGTTTGAACCGGAAGGAAAGTACTTGACTTGCCGTCGGTCACTGATGTATTGACTTGTCTCTGGTAAACCAAAATTAAACTGGTTATATAATCATTACATCGGAACTTTTCTGCTACAACATTATCCATTGCTATATATGAATTAATTAGAAATTAACATCTTGTTATTTCTTTTTATGTGGTTTAATCTTAACTTCATTTTAATATTTTTAATTAGCAATATTTTTTAGATTATTATTCCATTTTCTACCATTTATTTTAAACTATTATAATCTGAAGGTGGTTTATTCATCTCCTTTTCCAATTTCTTATAACTTGAGTGTGGGTTGGATAATGGTATTGCTGTAGGTTTACTATCATTAAAAAATATGAAACACTATTAATATTATTGTTAAAATAATATTAAGAATGTCTTTTCTTATGTTTCTACATTGATTTTCTTTGAATTTCAACACCACACACTTCGCATTGAGCAATTTTTTGGAGTTTTCATAGTATTTATTTTGTTTTTTCTCATAATTTCTACGTTTTTATTCTTTTACTTTTTCAGGGTTACTTATAGCATATTCTTTTTGAGATTCAATTCGTTTTTCACTTTTTTTTGGTAAAATTGTCTGTCGAATTCCTTCTTGTGTTCGTGGTGCTCTTCTATCCATTCTTTGCTGGTTCTGTTTGGGATGAACAAGTTCAAAGATGGTTTCGATCTTGCTATGTATTTCCTTTCCTTCTGATATAGATGCTCTTTGTTTTGACATTCTGGGTAATCTTGAAGTAATACTATGTGAAAATATTCCACACCAATTTCATTCATTTTCTGATATAACTTTCCATTGTTGTGCTTGTTTCTGGCACTATACCGATGTTTTGCCATTCTGTTTCCAAGACTGATACACGTTGAACCGAAATGTCATCATCTTGTATATTAAACAAAAATATCTATTTTTGCCTTGGCATAATTTACCATTATATACTTTTTTATTTTTTTCATTCTTTAAATCTATACTTCTAAATTTTAACTGTTGTATTAGGTCTTATCCCGTTTGAAATGGCGGTGGTGGGTCTTATGTGCCACATTCCTTGACCTTCATTTTTTTTTATAGGTATGAGCAATAACGGGGTTCCAATCTACAAAATTTGATGTTTCGGCATATCCATCCAACATACTAACAACATCATTAGGGCATCTTCTGGGGTCTTGTTTACCTTCCCTTTTCTTTTTGATTGATGGTGTCGCATAAGTGGCAGTAGCAAATTTACTGGATTGTTCTTCAATGATTTTGTTAATCACCGCGGATGCCAAACTGTGCCCGACCAATCTGCTTACTTCCGGTGATTTCTTCAGTTCTTCTATGACATCTTTGTGTTTTTCAGTGTGTTTCGCATTTCCAATAGGCAATAAAAGTAAGTCATCTGTCCCAGACTTCCATCTTTCCCGCCGGTGCCCGATATGTAAAGTGTCTTACCTGTTTTGTATAAACCGTTTGGACTTCTATAGGCATTGTTCAATCCCTGTTTGTTTTCTATCTTTTCCTTGTTTGGTATGTTCCTCTCTTCTTTGTAAAGGGTGGTATTCTTTTTGAATTCATCGTTCAAATTTTTACCAAAGTTGTCCATTCTTTTTATTCAAATCCTCTTGTTTCTTATCAATGTCTTTCTTGAATTCTTCCTTACCAATCCTCATAAGTTCATCCAATGCTAATTTACCAGTTTTCGTTGCTAGTTCCTTCAACTGGTCTCTGGTTGAGACGTCTTCACTTGCTTCACCTCTCGTTATCCTCTCCATTGCTTCTCTTCCCAATTGCCGTCCTATTTGTCTAATAGCATTGCTAAATGCCATCCTTCGAACTCCACCGAAAAAGCCAATCATTTATATTAATAGTTATAAAAATCTCAATAAAATGGATCCAATTTTCATTTTAAACTAAAAGTTAAACATGAAAATTCTAGACACTTGATTTTTTATTGCAAGATGTATGAGATGTATCTTGAATGGTTTTGAATGAGTGTTGACCCATTCTCATCTTGGGTTGTTGTTGCGCATTGGACATGGGGAGACGAATCCAGAAATACGGGGATTGGCCAAACTAGGAAGTGACGCAGAAAATGATGGTAACTGTGTTTGGAAGTTGTGCTTCATTGGATATCCTCAGCTCTTGGAAAGTGCTCACAGTAGAAAAAATGGTCAAAAAGTGCCCTATAAAAAGGTATTTTGCATTGCCCATTCATGCCCATTAGGTCACCTACTCATACCATCCCACACCTTGGCTCTGAACTTTGGTGAGTTCTCGACGCCAGGCCATCCCTGAGGCTTTGAAACTGCAGTTCTCTCGTTGGAGGCACTGCACTGGGCTGATAGAGTGCAGCATCCGAAAAGATCGGTTGTGACGCCAGCCCTTTTCCGCCATTGAAGTCCAAGAAGATGTGCCACGCAGCAACGATTTGGGGAATCATGGGACTGCTTTCCTAGCGATCCCTGGTGGCTGAGTAGGCTTTAATTTCTTGTTCCTTTGATGTCATGGATGTTTTGAAGCAACCTCGGACATCCAGCCATCAAAATCATCGCCGAGGCGCCGAGTTTTCAGAGCCGGGAACCACGTCGAACTGGCCGGCCCAGCGCCCCAGGTCACAGCCTTTTGGTGAATTCCAAAATGCCAAGGTGGAACTAAGAAAAGACGCCCTTGTCCAAAAAAAACGCTGGATACATGTGGATAGCCTTATGATATTTGATGCCAATTTTTTCAGGGGGAAATTGAAAATCGTAGCCAATTTCGATGTTGGGATTCCGTTACAAACCAGGCCACGAGGTTGGACAAACCATGGCCAACTTGGTGCTCAGAACCCAACCTGCTTGCTATCCTGGCTGTTTGGCTCCCAAGGGTGTCAATCCCAGTGAACTCCTGTCACATGCTTCAGGGCAGGACGCCACCAGGATTTGGAAGGAGGACATCAACCATCGATACATCGGAACGTGCCGAAAAACTCAAAAGTGGATAACCAAAAAAATTGACAAGGTGAAGGGATTTGCCGCTTCTCGCAGCTTAAAACATCAATATCCCAGGATTTGAGACATTTTTACTGGGTTTTCCTCTATTTTGCGAGGAACACCCATGGTTTCCCCTTGATTTTTCCCTGAATATCACTCCGCTGATTCACTGATCGCATGGATTTTTTGGGTCTCTGCCGTGCGCAAAATGCCGTGCGCAAAATGCCGTGGACGCGACGCGTGGCCTCGAGGGTGGAGCCGACGGAGCGAGTCCCATCTACCGCGTCTCGTTGCCGGAGTTTGCTGAAGCAGGAGTGGCCATGGTGCCAGGTGGGGGGAAATGGATGTTCCATGGATGTGTTTTTCTCGAAACATGTTTTTTGGACTTCTTTTTATAGATCAGTATGGATCTCTTTTCATGTGTTTCATGTGTTTCCAGTTTTTTTTTGGATCAGATTTACCCTCTGGTTATTTAACATAGCCATGGAAAATCACAATTTTTAATAGGTAAACCATCTATAAATGGGAAATTTTCCATGGCTATGTTAAATAACCAGATGGTATATGCTGAAGACATTTCAACCGCGGAATCCTGGGTTGATGTTTTTTCTTGGACCGGAACTGATGGGATCTGATGGGATTTGGTGAGGTTGGAAGGTGGGTTTTCAGCACCAGGTGTGGATGGCCTAGTGGTGGTGAGCCTCGACGAATCCGTGCAGAGGTGGAACTTGGAGCACCCGGAGCTGGCCATTCGTCGCGGCCATGTGGTTCTGGAAATCAACGACAAGACGACACTGGAAGAGATGCACCAGGAACTGAGGCTGGGATCAGTGGAAGTTTCCCGGTGATATCGTTGGAATGACCATGTGAGGCAGATTTATGATACATGTCCCCAATTTATTTCAACAAGATTTGGAAGATTTGCGGCAACCTCGTGAGAAACTGAGAATTTTTATAGAATTTTGCCAATGCCCTGGACAACACAGCCCAAAACATTGGGCGATCACCTACCATACCCATACCACGAGCCATCTGTCATGCTGATTCAAGCTCGTGTTCAGCAAAAGGCATCCCTCATCAAGAAACTGTTGGCTTGGCCCAGCCCCATAATTTGACCTCTCGATTTTTTTTTTCCGTATTTTTCCATAGGATTCCATGTTTAATCCTCCAGCATCATTTCTATTGGTGAACATCTGACATAGAATCAATGTATCGCACAAGGATTCGCCATGTCATCAACCCCACTTGGTGTGACTTCTCAGCTGATTCTCAGCCCAAGGAGTTTTTTGGGGCCTTCTGATTATCCAATTGGATGGTCCCTTCATGTCCCTTCTTGATGGCCTTCAAAATGACTTCAATTATAGTAACCCCCCAAAAAGATGCTGAAGTATAGTCTAGTTAATATCGTTCAACAATTTAGCACTAAGATTGGGCGATCCCCTCAATAGGCCTTTTTTCATGGCATCACTTAACCTTTTTGTCACCGACACCAGGCGTGGCTCCCTACCGCGGGAGCTACTGCTGAGCCGCGAAGATGGTGGGGATCTGCCACCCCAGCAGCGGTGGATCTTCGAAAAAACGCTGCAGCATCACACGGCCGACGCCTGGATGCAGAGGGTGGAAGCCTTGGACAAGGCATGGGGATATTCCGAATTTTTACTTGGGGTTACTGTATGATTTTGGATGATTTTATGGGATATTCATATAACTTCATAACACTTATATAATCTTTATATAATCTTTATATAATCTTTATATCATCTTTATATCATCTTATATCATCTTATATCCAATATACCATGATGTTTAAGTGATATTTAAACAACAATCATCATGGGGATATGATGGGGATATTACAGGACATTTTGGGACCTTATCATGAACATAAGAAATCATTTTTCCTTGGTGAGGAGGGAGCTGAGGAACAACGTTTTATATCCATATTCCCTTTTTAAATGGGGAACCAAGGAGCTGCTAAGAGTTTCCCAAGCGCATGATAGTTATGGGCTACGGGGGATATTATGGGATATATTGCTGGAATTCTTGGATATTTTTTACAGGGAAAGTCAAAAGGCCCATGGATTACCCACAGGTTGTAGCTGTCATTGGCATTTTCTGGCTACACGACCACGTAAAAAGGGATGATTGAGACCAGGTAACTGCAACTTGCGGTGTGAAAATCAGGGTGCCAAGGGGTTACCATGGTTTGGATGCCGCATCCCCGTCGAAGGTGGAAGGTTGTTCCATCTGCTTGGAGGACATGGCTGTGGCTTCGGAGGCCGTGAGGCTGCCATGTGGCCACTGCTATCATCCCAGATGTCTTAAGAATTGGTTCGTGAGAAAGCTGCGATGCCCCTTGTGCAATGTTGCAGTGGAATGAGTGGAGCGTGACAACTCAGATATTTGCAGCGCCAAAAGGCAGCTTCTTGTGACCTTCTGGGTGCGATCAATTTTCAAGTACAGTTCCTCCCCATTTTTGAACGGCCGGCGTAACGCCTGCCGTTCGCGTTGAACGCTGAACGAGGACCGGTCCTTACAAAGACGGAGCAAACTTGAGACGCAACGGAGATCTAGGGAGACTATGGTGAATCCTTGGTGCCTGTCTTTGTGGGCAATGCATTAGAGACTCTAGGACCACTTTTCAGAAGTGGTCCTGTCTGGTAGCTCGGAACTGTCCTGGATGTCTAGACCTTCCTTTTAAAAAGGCAGGGCTGGTGCCTGGACTTTTGCCTCATTGGCGCTCAAAAGAGAGCTGCAGGCCGCAAGTGGAAACCATAACCTATCATGACCTCATCAATTGGCATTATTGCAAGACACCCAACCTTGGATTTTTCAATCGGAAATCTGATGGTTTACTACCAGATTCCATCAGATTCCATCAGATTCCCAAGCTCAAATCACCTCGAAGATGATGGTGAATATTGGGAGGCCACCAGAAAATGATGGTGCAGAGGGTCCGAGGATCTATTTCCAGCATCTTTGCATTTGGATAGCAATGGTTCCAGATTCATGAACCCACTGAGTACAACAGTTTAGCTCATCGCATGTTCTCGCTATTTTGGGAGCCTTTTTTTGGTGGACGGATCCTGGTTTCATGTGGATTTGCTGTGCCCTCCAGTATGGAATCCAACATCCACAAGACTTTTGGAGGCGGAGGCATTGACACTTTGTGAGGCGAGCACCAGATCTGTCACGGAATTCGTTGCGGCTGCCCGGTGCTATTGGCTCAAGGTGCACAGCAGTTCTCTCCCTTTTGACTCTGGCACGGCGGATAACTACACGAAGCTGTGGAACGTGGCTCCTGCCAATTTGCTGTTCCTTTTCGATGCCTGGGATATCGTTCATGTTCGTTGATTCGGTAATGCGATCTTACTTAGCATTAAAACACTTTAGAACATGTGACTTTGGAGCTGTGCCACTCCGTTATGGCGTGGCCACCCAGAAGCCATTATAATCATTTATAATCTCTTCAAGGCAATCGCTCTTTCGAACTCCCCTTGACTGCTCGCGTTTCATGGCGGCCTTTGCGATTCTTTTCTTCCCGTATTTGTGGTCGCTCGTGGTGTCCCAGGACCTTGATGATCCGAAAAAAGCGTGGATAAAGTGGGTACAACTGAGGTTTATGAATGTTTGACCCTCGTAGAATTGCTAGGTCCATGGTTGAAAATGGTTGATGAAGTTGATGAATGTTTTTTGCATAGGCGGCCACAATGGAACCCCCACCATTGACAATGCAAATTCGCTGACAAGTGAGAGTCCTGAAAACACCAAGCGGTTCTTTTTGTGTTTTGAGGATTCAAAAGACACGACACCAACCTTTTGTCTTCCATGTCGTGGGCCCTTGTGATTTCTTGTCTCCACGTCAATACAAGGATGCCTGCGCGGCAGACCAGTATGGTTTCAAGGGTGGTTCCAACTGTGTCTCCAACGATGTGGCCTCCATAGTCCAACTCAATGTTGGCCAGTCCTCCAGCATCACCCTGACGAATCCCTATGAAGTGGCAGCAACAGGTCGCTCGATGGACCAATGGAAGCAAAGCTGGTGGAATCATCGCATGTTTGGACAGAGAACTGCAATCAACAATTCGACGATACGCATCATTTCAAGAAACACCCTCGTTGCATGCCAAAGGTAGCCTAGGCTACCTGAATTCCATGTACTTTAGTATATTATACGACATGCATATGGGTCGGAAGCAAATTCTTCGCGGCTTTTCAGTCTTCTCACGCAAAAATTTTCTTGATCTGTCTGTGTGGGAAACGTCAAAAGGTTTGTGTGATTTGTTGGGCTTGTTGTGTGATTTGGCTGCGGCGAAGAGTTGGTTTGGATCGTGTATGTGTTGGAGTCGGGGGGCGGTTTGTTGGTGAGATGGGTTTGTATCCAGTCAAACTTGCAAGTTTGCCTGTCCTTTTTTCCCCAACAGCAGAATGCTTTGGGGTCTTCAGCCATAGTAAAGGTTTCGGAGCAGACCGGAGCAGCTCCAAAACCCATTCCCCCGAGGTTCCCAGGTTCCAAGTAAAGGTTCCCAAGTAAAGGTTCCCAAGTAAAGGTTCCCGAGTAAAGGTTCCCAGGTTCCAAGTAAAGGTTCCCAAGTAAAGGTTCCCAGGTTCCCAAGTAAAGGTTCCCAAGGTTCCCA